GGGGTTCTTGGGATCAGTTTCTACCGCTTGCAGAGTTTGCCTACAATAATAGGTACTAATCGAGTATTCAGATGGCGCCTTATGAGGCCTTATATGGGAGGCGGTGTCGGTCTCCAGTTTGTTGGTTTGAGCCGGTGGAGGCTAGGTTGTTGGGCACGGATCTGGTTCAGGATTCCTTGGAAAAGGTCAAGTTGATTCAGGATCGTCTTCGCATGGCACATTCTAGACAGAAGAGTTACGCCGATCGGAAGGTTCGTGATGTTACATATATGGTGGGGGAGAAGGTATTGCTCAGATTATCGCTCATAAAGGGTGATATGAGGATCAGGAAGAAGGGCAAGTTGATCCCACGGTATATTGGACCTTTTGAGGTACTTGATAGGATGTAAGAAGTAGCCTACATGATTACATTGCCACCTACTCTATCGGGTGTTCACCTAGGGTTTCATGTTTCCATGCTCCGGAAGTATTATGGTGATCCGTCTCATGTTTTGGATTTCAGCTTGGTTCAGTTAGATGGGGTTTTGACTTATGATGTTGAGTCGGTGGCCATTCTAGATCAGTGGGTTAGAAAGTTGAGATCAAAGCATATAACTTTAGTGAAAGTTTAGTGAAGAGGCCAGCCAATCAAGGAGGCTACTTAGAAGATCGAGCGGGAGATGTAAAGCACATATCCACACCTATTTGAGACTCATGGTAGGATTCTAGACCCGTTCGAGGACGAATGTTTATTAAAGAGGGGGAATGTAATGGCCAAGTAGATCGTTTTGAGTATTGGAGCCTTGTTTCCCCATTTATTACTTATTCTATATTCATTTTTGGTTCTGTGACTTGCCGGGGTGGTTGGTTTGGTTCCGGGGATGTTTCAGAATGAATTGGGATACTTAGTCCCAAGGTTGGAAGCTTAAGTTTAAAGAATTGACCGGATATTGACTTATGAGTAAACGACTTCGGAATGGAATTTTGATGGATCCGATAAATCTGTATGGTGATTTTTAACTTAGGAGTGTGTCCGGATATTGATTTTTAGGTCCGTAGGCCGTTTTGGCTTGAATTGGCAAAAGTTGAAAAGTTGAAAGTTTGGAAGGTTAAGACGTTTGATTGACATTTGACTTTATTGATACCAGGCTTAAATTTTGGTTCAGGGAGTTGGAGTAGGTCCGTTGTATTATTTATTACTAGTGTAAAAAATTTGAGGTCTATCGGAGTTGATTTGATAGGTTTCAACATCAATTTTATAAGTTGGAAATCCATTAGTTTCAATAGACTTGAATTGGGGTGCGATTCGTGTTTTTGATGTTGTTTGATGTGATTTAAGGCTTCGACTAAGTTCGTATGATATTTTTAGGATGTGTTGGTATCTTTGAATGGGGTCCCGGGGGGCCCGACTGGTGATTTTGATTGAAATCAGATTGAGAATTTGACTTAAGGAATTTCTGTTATGTTCAGTTCTGGTGCAACCACACATGCGAGATTTTGGCCGCAGGTGCGAAGCCGCAGAAACGACCATGGGGTCGTAGAAGCGGTCCTCAGTCGAGCTGGGAGGGAAATTTCGCACCTGCGAGCTCGCAGATGCGGGAAGCGGGTCGCAGAAGCGGATGTTAGCCTTGGAGGCTGTTGTCGCATGAGCGGAGAAGACTGCGCAAGTGCGGTCCTTGGACTGCAGAAGCGAGATTTGGGCCGAAGAAGAGGCTAGTCGGGAGTTTAATGATATTTTGCAGAATCGACCTTTCTTCTGCAAAAGCGAAATTACAAATGCGGTGTTTGTGCCGCAGAAGCTAGAATCGCTAGGCAGACTGATATAATCGAGGGTTTGGGCTTTGAGAGGGATTTCACTCTAATTCAAGAGGTAAGCAACTTTTGATCGCTTTTGTCCATTAATATTGATTACCTGTTGATTTTCCCTCCTAGTTATGTTTTTTGAGGTGAAATTTGAGGGATTTTGGACAAGGTATTGGAGAGTAAGATTTGGGGATTTGAGGGCCGATTTGTGGTTGGAATTGAATAATTTTGGTATGATTGGACTCGTTATTGAATGGGAGTTCGGATTTTGTGAATTTTGCCGGGTTCCGAGGTGTTGGCCCGGGGTTAACCTTTTGAATTTGATTAAAGACCTTAGCTTTATCGTATGGAATCGATTCTTATAACTTGTATTGATTATATTAAGTTATTTCTAACTAGATTTGAGTCGTTCAGAGGCCGATTCACAAGGCACAAGTTTATTGAAGTATTGAGTTGCGCACTTTGAGGTAAGTAACATTTCTAAAATTAGAACTGAGGGTATAAATCCTTGAAAAATATGTTATATGGTTGTGTTGGGGTGGCACACATTCTAGGTGATGGACGTGTGGGCGTGCATCGTGGTAATTATGATTTGATTGATTTTTTTGTACTGTGTTGTTCTCAAGTCTTGTTCTATCCATGAAAGCCTTACTTATTAGAGTAATTGAACTGTAATTCATGTTAGGAAAACATGTTTAGGCTATGTGCTTATACTGTTGAGGCCTAGTGAGGTTATTTCTGCTATTTTGAGCTATCTGCTTTAACTGCAAATGTGTGCTCAGTCATGATCCTTTACTTGCATATCATATCGTAGTCTCTATTATCATTCACTATTATATTATATGTTCTTACTGAGTTGGGCTGAGTAGTATGAGATTGTGATCCCCGTGAGACTTGAGAGATCGATGACTGAGTTGGGCCTGAGAGCCGAGTTGAGATGGCTATATATTATGGATCGGGTTGCACGCCGCAGCAGGCCTTATTGGCTTATTTATTTATTGTGGATCGGGTTGCACGCCGCAGCAAGCCTTATAGGCTTTATATTTGCGCATGGGCAGGATCCACCCCTTCAGAGCCTGACATACTAGTAGTGAGCGCATGCACAGTGATATACATACATGTGCTTTGGTGAGGGGCATTGATGTCAGACACCCGTACAGTGCTGAGTGATTGTGTGAGAAGAATGGGAATTTGTGTTAGACATATTAAGTACTCTGAGAGTGTGAATACCTGGAAATACCACTGTGATATCATACTTTTGGCGTGTATATTTGACATGTTGGCATAGAGACGTACTATTCCTCATGCTAGTTATACTTGACATGTTCTTACGAGTGTTGGCCTCTATTTGTGAACTTGAAAGCATGTCTAAATTTCTATATTGTGATCATGCTGAATATGGAAGTTTCTATGAGTTGTTACTGTTATTCTCATTGTGATATCCGTGTTGTCATTATATTGGTTCTGACCGTATCCTTCTAAGCTCGTCACTGCTTTGAGCCCAAGGTTAGTCCTGTTACTTATTGAGTACTTTGGGTTGGTTGTACTCATATTATACTCTGCACTTTGTGTGCAGATCTAGGTACATCTGGATGCGGTGATTGCTATATTTGGTGCCAGTACCTGCTCGGAGACTTTGAGGTAGTTGTTATGACGCTCACAAACCCCGACTCTCTTTCTTTTCATTTTATTCAGTACTGTTCTAATTCTCAGACAATTGTACTAGAGTTTTAGATTATGTTGATACTTAGTAGCTCATGTACTCAATGACACCAGGTTTTGGGATGGTTGTAGTAGAGTTAGAGTTGTTTTATCAGATATTCATGAGATTTTTCACTGTTGAGCTTATTAATATATGGTTTTAATTCAAATACTTAGTTGTTATGTGATTATCAGCTTGCCTAGTAAATGTGTTAGGCGTCTTCACGACAGGTTGAGATTTTGGGTCGTTACAGTCTTCTCTAACTTAAGCACCACTACTGGCATTACATGATGTTAACAAGACAATTGGACAAGGAATATGTGTTGTCCTCATGCAACAGGGCCACCCTATTGCTTTTATCACCGGGGCCCTTTCCCTTAAACATGCTGCTCTCTCAATTTATGATAGGCAATTATTAGCTGTTGTTTATGCTGTAACCAAGTGGTCTCAATACATGTTTGACCAGAAGTTCATTATCAGGTTTGATCAAACGACCCTCAAATTTCTATTGAAAAAAAAGCTTCACACCAATTCTCAGTTAATGTGGTTGACAAAGTTGATGCCTAGGGTATCTGGAGCTGAACATTTTCATTGGTCATCTCTACTACCAGCTGAGAGTTATTACAAGCTATAGCTCACAATTGGGACACCGATCCTGAGCTAAAAGCACTAATTAAACAACTGAAAGTGGATCCTACAGCTCACATGCAATTTACTTGGCACCCGGATCAGTTGAGGAGAAAGGGCAAACTAGTGGTTAGTAAAGTGCCACAACTTCGACTGTACATCATTGATTTATGGAATTCTACTCCCCAAGGTGGTCACTCATGTGTTGAGGCAACATTGAAAAGGATCTTGAGATTGTTTTACTAGAAGGGCATAAAAGGATGTAAAATTCTTTGCTAAGAAGTGCGACATTTGTCAAAGGAACAAGTATGACTTAGCTGCTTATCCTGGTCTCTTACAACCTCTCCCAATTCCAGGGGAGGTATGGTCCTAAATCAACGTTGATTTCATTGATGTACTTCCTGAGTCCAAGGGGGTATGAGGTGATACTACTCATAGTAGACAGGCTGAGTAAGTATGACCACTTTATTCCTCTTAAACACCCGTATACTACTCAATCTATTGCTAGGGTGTTTATGGAAGTCATCTACAGGCTTCATGGTACGAGCACGTAATTTTTGCCAGCGCATGAAACTACTCCTAAATATTCCAAAAATAGTTTTTAGTTATTTACGAATTTTTGTTTATTTATTTGATTACATTTTTGTGTTGTCGCACCTCTAGGATTGTTCTTAGATAATTAAAAATCATCAAAAAATATTTTACCTTCATTTGTAGCATTTTTAGACTTTAATTGTATTATTAGTTTTTAATGGCATATAGTTACACTTTTGTTAAATACAAAATCAAGAAATAATATACATTAGTGTTTTGATCAATCAATTAGTTTAAATGGATAATTCATGCATTAATAAGTTAATTGTTAGTTTAAAATAGATTGGTGGGTTAATTGTGCAAAATAAGTCTAAGTAGAGTAATACATTAAAAGGGGCTATTTGAATAATACAAACGCAAGAAAGCAAAGAAGTCCATCTGCTCTTATTTCTACTTTTGGTCCAGGCGCTTGGATGGCCCGATTCTCTCAACAGTCCGTTAGCCCACTTCTATACCCGGTCCAGCCCTTTCAGCCACCAAAACGACACCGTTCCAGTCCCAATTAATCTCTGCCGTCCATCAGATCTCATCTGACGACAGAGACTGTCCTAAAATACCTCATTTCTAACCTAATACACTCTCCTTCCTCTCTATCATCAGCCGCCACCAATCACCCCACCTGAAATCGCTCAGTTGAGCGTGCCACCCTAAAACCGCCGTTGACCACCGTTGACCATCGCCGGAGTCAGCCAAACGACGTGAAACCACCATGTTTCTTCTCCTCTTTTTCTCCTCTACATCATCATAATAAGATCGTACTCCCATTTCGACCCCGCCATTACCCCATAGAAATACTTAATCCATTCGGCCCTGCTCCGATTACCTTGACCTTTAATACCGGCATACCTCTACACATATATCATTAGATAGATCTTAAAAAGATCTATTCAATGATATAAGTATTAGGGTATTTCAAAGTTCAAGTCCTGGCCAAATCTTGCTGAAACTACTTCTGGCATTTCACTTAGAGGTCAAAAGGTAATTCTATTTCTTTTTCTCCTCAAATGAGTAGTTTTTTCTCTTTTCCAGTTTGTCAAAAGGCATATGCTCCTCTATTAGTTTGTTTTCTCATATGTTTAGCATATTTTAGATAGTTTAGGACTTAATAACAATTAATTCTGTGCTTTCATGATTATAGTTGTGTTTAATTGCATGTTTAAATTAGTTCATTAGTATTTTTAGGTTTATTTGATTTCCGGTTGGAATTTTTCTTTTTCTTCTGTAACTGTTACTTCAATTTGGGTTGGTATTTGTTTTGTTTGATTGGGGGCCTGTCTTGTTTGACATGCAGGCCCATTAGGTGTGAAAGTTCAGGAGACGAGTTTGGGTATGGGCCTGGTGGTCAGATGGCCCAAGTCTTTTGGTACCCGTGAGGTTAATAAAGAAGGTTGAGTTTAGGAATTAAACTTGAGAAATATTTTCTGTAACTGTTTTAGAAAGTTCTAGGAGATAGGAAAGGGTTAAACATCAATAAAGAAGATATAGAGGTTGGGGTTTGAAAGAGTAATAAACAGAATTTAGAAGGAGTAAAAAGAAAAGGAAATAACTAAAAATACAGCCTCTATTCTGTTACAAAATAGTACCCCCCCCCCCCCCAACACCACACACACACACACACTTTAGAGATTATCATTTATTCACTCTCACTCAGCTCACACAGAATTCATACATACTCATTCCTTCCTTCACACGCACCTTCTTAATTTGCAAAGGCTGAAAATAATTTTTCTGCATTCAAATTTGAATTCCAGATTTGAAAAGAAAAAAAAAACTCCAAAAAAATAACAAACAAAAACAATTCAGAAAAAGGCTGTAGTTGGTTCTGTGGTTTCAAAAATAATTTCCTCTGCATTTCTGGGTTTTGAAGACATTTCAGCTTGGAATTTCTGTTGTTTGTTGCTGTTCTTTGTCAATTAGTAGCTGAGCTTCAGTTTGTAGCTATGTTTAGCCTTTATTTGGCCATTTAAGATCTACTTGCTGCTTGCACCCAAGGGTGTGGCCTAGTGGTCAATGAAGTGGGTGAGAATCTTGAGGTCTCAGTTCAAATCCCAGCTTCTTCCCATCTATCCAAGCCTTGGTGGATAGAGTTACCTGTTGCTGGTGTGAGGTGGGAGGTATCCCGTGGAATTAGTCGAGGTGCGCGCAAGCTGGCCCGGACACCACGGTTATAAAAAAAAAAAAGATCTACTTGCTTCTTTTAAGGTACTGATTTCCGCCACCTCCGATGTAACAGTTGTTTGAATTTTATATTACCATCAAGCTTGTAATCATAGGCTACTTATGTGTTCTGTAAATGTTCCTTGGGGTACTTAGTCATTTATGGGTTTGATAAATACTCTCTTCTATGTCTATTTGCCAGATTAGAACTAGATTGGAGTTTTAGTGTACAAAACTAGTATAAATATGAGCATAAATTGTTCATGCTATAATGATCATGAAGGCATTTTTAAATTATAATGGTTGACCAGTTAAAATAGAGCTAGAATTGAGATTTTCAGGTTGAATCGAAGCTGCAGAAATGTCCATTTCCAGCAGTAATGTATTTGTCAGTGTTAGATAGATCTGGAAATTTGAAGAAGAAATATGAAAAAGTTCGTTTGTATAATGATTTGATCTCAGTTATGTTGATATTTAGTCTATGGTTCAAAGACTATTTTTCTGTATAGTTTGTGTAAAATGAGTTTAAAACAGGTTTGTAATAACTCCGTTCATCAATGATTGTAACTAATCAGTAGGTCAATAAATGTTGTTCATATTATTTTCGTTTTGTGTTAATTGATTTATTCCTACTTTTGATCGTGTATATGATGTTGGATATGATGAAGCTCATGTAAATGAGCATATTCTGAATTAACCTCTTCCCTTTACCGTTTGGGCTTCACTTTAAGCTCAGATCTGAGAAAACGATTTTGTCTAAAGGTTTGTTGTGAGCCTGACTTTAAGCTGGCCCACTTCGGTGGCCTCCAGGCCCAAACCCCATAAGAGTTCCACCTGGAATTTGGTCAGGCCAATATGGCCAGGACTAATTTATTGTGTATTACTAACTCAATTTGAATTAGTAACTCCAACACGCTTGTCCTTCAATCAACCAAAATCGAGAGTATAAATTTGAATTAACAGTACGGGGATCGTCCTTCTTCCCTTTCAAAATAGAATATTGATTCAAGCTTATTCCATTTAATCTAAACAATCAAAATTACATCTCTTTCAAGTTCACAATGATTTTCATAATTATCGTCACAATATTCGTAGAATGCTTTAGGAGCGATTTATGCGTTCGCGCGACTTTGGCCAAGCAATTTTAAAATTAATTAAGTGTTATTAATTGTGTACACGATTTTGACACTCAAACAAAACGGATACACACACGTGATCTGTTTCAAAGATAATCCATAATAATTATAATAAATAAGAGTGGTAAAGGTTAAAACGCACGTATGTTCTAAAATATGTAATAATCAATTAACAAGCCAAGTGTAGATTGTAAAGCGACCGTGCTAAAACAACGAAATCCGGGAGTGCCTGACACCGTATCTCGGGTTAACGGAATTTTTTACTCGGTCTTCTACGTTTCGCAGACTTTAAACAGTGTCAATTTTCCTTGAATTGAGATTCTAAAATAAATGGCGACTTGGGACGGCGTAAATAATTATTCCAAGTGACGACTCTAATTAAAATAAATTAATCTCATTTCAATAATGTCACTTAAATTAGAAAAACTCATTTCCCCGCAAAAAAAAAAGTATGACATATGGTATACCGTATTCTATTGTCATTGACAAGGATACAATGTTCTTAAGTTCTTTTTGGCAAGAGCTTCTCACAATACAAGGAGTCCAACTACATACCTCATCAGCTTATCATCCATAAACTGATGGGCAGACTGAGGTCCTGCATAGATGCCTAGAGACATATTTGAGATGCTTCTGTTCTGAGGAGGCTATTAACTGGCATTCTTATCTATATATGGCTGAGTATTGTTTCAATACTTCCTTCCATTCAGGCATAAGAACCATCCCATATGAGGCACTTTATGGAAGACCACCTCCTCTGCACTTGCCTTATCTGCCAGGTGAATCAGCTTCAGCTAATGTAGATAACACTCTGATCAACAGAGAATTGAAACTACAACTGTTGCAACACCACTTACTGAGAACTCAGTTAAGGATGAAGAGCAGGCTGATTCTCATAGGAGTGATAGAAACTTTGAAGTAGGTGATTGGGTTTACTTCAAGAATCAACTTTATAGGAAGGTGAGCCTTACTGCTCAACCATTTCATAAATTGGCTTCTAAATACTATGGACCATTTCAGATTATCAAGAAGGTGGGAGTTGTGGATACTATTTCCTCCATCAATAATAATACACCCCACAATATATGTGTCCTTACTAAAAAAAATACTATGAATTGCCCAAACAATTCACTTGTCCTCCCACTACTGATATTGCCAGCCCACATTGTCCCAATGCAGAGTCTACTGTAGAAAGGCAAATGGTGAAAAAAGGAAACAAAGTTGTGGCTCATGTCCTAGTTAAGTGGACAGGGTTACCTACAAATTATGCTGCATGGGAATTTCTTAATGCACTAAAGATCAAGTTCCCTCACTTTGATCCTTGTGGTCAAGAATCTTTTGTAAGGGGAGTATTGATATGCAAAATTCAGCATGATCGCAACCAGCTCAAGTTGGAAGCTCCAGCTAATGCAGTTAGTTAGTTAAGTCCAAGTCAGCTGAGAGTTAGTTAGGAAGTTAGTTAAGGGTAGTTAGTTAGTTGGGAATAAGAATCTTCCGGAAGGAGTCATGTATTCATTCATAAAAGAATTATAATGTATCATTTTATAATCATCAATGAAATATAGCTACAATTTCTCTCTCAATCCTCTCTTTCTCTCAATTACAATTTCTTCACTTCATAAGCTGTGATATTCGAGTTTCTCCGCAAAACTCCTAACTTAGTTGCTCAATTCTCGAATTCCCTGTTGGATTCTCGCAATTGAGATATCAAATTACTTCTAAAAATTTGAATTTGGAGTTGAAGTTATCAAACACTGATCTTGTAAAGAAGACGAGTTGAGTAGCACTGATGACGGTAATATTTAAGTTATTAGCTAGCGTGTGAAATCCTTTAATCCCTAATTGTATGCAATTTGTGAAGAAACTAAGTTACTTTTTAAAAACTATAAAATTATGATAAAACGGGTCATATGCTTCTTATTATTGTATGTCCTTGAAAAAATTTCATTTTTCTTGCAGAAATTTTGGTAGACTAGTCAACTTCATTTGGCATTTTATGCTTCGTTCATTGTCCGATTAGGCAGACAATAAGAGCTATCTATTTTTCTACTTTAATACCATGTGAAGTTTATAAATCATCCAAAATCTTATAAAAGTGAACTAAGTTTTGAAGAAGAAAGAGAGAATGTCGGGAGAGAAAGTGATTTCTATTTCCAATTAATGAAAAAATATGCATTGGAGGTTTTTGGTACCCTTTATATATACAATGTAAAAATATAAAAACGACCTAAGAAATACAGGTAGTCTCGACTCATTTATCTGTACAAAAACTAAAGTAAATGCAATCGGTCTACTACAACTGCACTTGGGTTTCTATAACTGCTAACCCAAACGCCACAAGTCATGTAACTCAAGACAATCTACGACTGACCACGCACAGCGAGCTAGATTAATAATACACTGGCGTCAAATTCATTTGAGCTCAAAAGAGTTGACGTATTGTTGGAATATGAGTCCTGATTAAATAAGAGGATCAGAAAGAGAATTATCAAGAAGAGTTGAGTGTTTAAGGAGAACAAACAATTCAAGTCGGCCAACTCAAACTCTATGATCTTTAGTAAGTTAAGAGAAAGCTCAAGGGTGAGCATACACATCAACCTTCTTGAATCGACACACAAGGAAGGTAAATACTTATCATAATTAGTGTTTACCTCAAATTAAATCAACTTACCATGGTGAAAATCATAGTTAATCGATATAAGTTTATAGGCAAACGCATCCCATGCATCATGTATCATGCATCTATTTGTTTGATATAAACAACAAGTGCAAATAAGTATTTATTAGGAAGGACGCCAACACAATCACCCTATAACCCATAATTTCACAAACATTTGCTAAGGGCATAATTTTGTGCCCAAATATCTGGTAAAATCTTACCAATGTCAATCTAAAACCTGTCAATATTAAAATAATGAGTACCTAAATACAGTTTATTTACGGAGGAGGTTAATATATGCGAAAAACTATTATAGTAAACCGACCATTCCGAGGAAAACTTCTAGTGCATTGAACAAGTATAAGCGACTCAAAACGAAAGGGACTAATGAAGAGCAAGACACCTTTTACACATCATTACACAAAATGTCGGAGACAAATTTACAAACAAGATAAAGGGACTATTTTCAAAAATGGCTATGGGGTGTAAGAGTATATTTTTAACTTTTTTTTTAAAATAAAATTAAAATTCAAACTCGTTTGCACGAAAAAATTTGAGGTATCTGCTGGAATATGAACTTGCATGACTATTGATTGGATAAAGGAATATACAAAGGAAAGCTATAGCTTCTTAATTATGCCCATTTATATGCACTGCATGCCCTAAAACACGAAATATAATTATCAAATATTGTAATTTCCTTTACTGTTTACTATTACACCTCTGGGCCTCTGATTAAGAGTTGTTTGGATTGACTTATTTTAAGTGTTTATTGGTTTTCACGCACTTTTATAAAAAAATGCTTAAAAGCACTTATTTTTAGATATGAAAAATATAAAAATAAGCCAAAAGTCAAAAGTTAGGTATAACCAAATTATGACTTTTACCTTATAAGCTATTTTTTAAAAGTCAATCCAAACACTCGCTGTATCTTCGTAAGTGTCATGCTAGAGACCGAACTCTCATTATTTCACATTATCCAATTCCTGACGTGGAACCAAAGAACTCTCTAGTGCCAACAAGGAATATTAGTTGTAGGATATCAGTCCACTAAAGATAATATTTGGCCTTATCTAACATTATCCAAATCCTAAGGAGGGAAACCAAAGAACTCTTTGGTGTTAACAAGGGCTATTGTCTACTAATGTTTTGACTACATGCTACTATTTCCTAATTCATTTATATAAACTTTTTTCCGAAAAGAATTGAAACATTATTATTTGGAAAACTATTATCATTAAACCTGAAAAGGTTCTTCAAAAAGATTTTTCCAAAATGTATTTTCTCTCAAAAATATTTTTTTTCTAAAAACCTTTTCATGAAATACTTAAATAATATATACTTACTACTTAGGTACTTAGTCGAGGTTTCGTCTTAGGTGAGGTCAATGGCGGAACCTGAATTTTAATTAAGGGGATTTAAATATGAAAAATTAAAGATACGAAGAAATCAATAAGATTCAACATATAATCTACGAAAAAGGTCCAAATATGCCATTGTACTATACGAAATTGAGCACATTTGTCCTTCGTTAATACTTTAGCTCAAATATGCCCTTACCGTCACATAGTTGGTCCATACATGCCTTTAGAGTTACACAATTGCCCCATATATGCCCTTTTCGAAACGGAATCCACCCAAACTAATTAGCTATTTCGTTAATTGTATTAAAGTGTATTACAAACACTATTTACTTTTTATTAGTACTTTTTTTCTTTACCTTTCTATTTTTTTTTTCTCTTTCCCCCCCTCCCCTTTTCTTTCTCCCTTATCCGATTTCCTCCATTACTGATGTATTCTCCATTTTCGTCACCAATTTCACTTGACAAAACTCACGAATTCCAATTACTAAGAAAATTCTCCTATAAGAATATTTTTATAGATCATATGTTTGTCAATTTTTTAATTTTTATTGAACATATATTTAGTTCTAAAAAATTTAACAAAGTAAGATTGAAATAATATTTATGTAACAAAAAACTCAAAAAATCCAACAAAACCGATCAATCCAAACCGATATAATTGGTTTGGTTTGGTATTGATAAAAACCGAACCAACCCGTTCAATGTATACCCCTAATTTACATAGTTAATAAAAAAATAGAAAATGTCCAGCTGAAAAAAGATGAAAAAGACTAACAACTCAAATTTATAATACTACAACTTGAACTCTAGGCTTTTAATCAATAAATTATCTTTCTGGAAATAATTTAAATATTTTGGTCTTTTGAGTATTGTTAAAGGTTGAGATATTTTTATTATTTTAAAGTTTAAACCATAATTTTTGGAATAATTTAATTTCGTTATTTAGAGGGCCAGTGAAATTGAAACTTGATTACCTTATGGGAGAATTTTCTTATTAATTGGAATTTATGAGTTTTGTCAAGTGAAATTGGTGACGAAAATGGAGAAGACATCATTAATGGAGGAAACGGATAATGGAGAAAGAAAAAGGAAAAAAAAAGAGAAGAAAAGAAAAAAGAAGAAAGAAAAGAGAAAGGTAAAGAAAAAAATTACTAATAAAAAGAAAATAGTGTTTGTAATACACTTTAATACAATTAACGAAAGAACTAATTAGCTTTGGTGAGTTCCGTTTCGAAAAGGGCATATATGGGCCAACTGTGTAACTCTAAGCGCATATATGGACCAACTATGTGACGGTAAGAGCATATTTGAGCTAAACTATTAACGAGTGACAAATATGCTCAATTTCATATAATACAAAGGCATATTTGGACCTTTGCCCTATAATCTATATACATGAAAATTTTGACCTGGCTACAGTATATGTCACTTACTCTTCTGATGATGTACGAAGAAGTCAATAAAATTCAACATATAATCTACATATATGAAAAAATTAGCCTACCTAGAGTAAATGTTTTAGGCGAATTATATGTCATTTCTATTAGAAAATTTTTCTTATAATTGCAAATTTTTTAAATACATGGAATAAGTTTTCTTTCATTTTAAAAAAAAATATAAAACTTTTCTCCAATGCGTTGATTGAATTCTCTCCTTTTTAAAAAAGGGGAAAAACACCAACTTTGCCAAAGTAAGAATCTAAGGAAACGAGTATCTCTACGTGGCACACCCTGTTTCTACATTTTCTTCACTGCCCATAGGATAAAACACACTAGTTTTCGTGGCGGGTCGATCACAATATCACTGCTTTATTCACTTTGCCAGTTGCCTCCATTTATGTGGTGGGAATTTTCGTCTGTCACTATCACTGCTGACTTGGTTGATCTGATTAATTTCAATAACAAAATTCTCCTCCGAAATTCTCAATTTCATCACTTGCTCTGCAAAAAAACAATTGCTAGAGAGCAACAATTTTTGAGCACCAAAATCTTTTTCAGATGAGTGCTACTACTGCAACATTCACTCCAGTAGCATTTAGCAACAACAACAATCCTTACAATCCAATATGGAGAAAAGTACCCAATTCACTACCAAATCCAATATGGACAACTTCCACTACTACAAACTGCAAGCTCTCCAACAGTTCCTTTATTTCACGAGCAACTTCTTCATCGTCAAGCCCTGAAACTGAAAACGAAAAGAAAAACAAGAAGAAGAAAAAAAAAGTAGTAATTGAAAACGAAGAGCTAAAGCAAGAACCAGAGCCGGAACCAGAACAAGAGCAACAACAAGAGTTACATTCATCTTCAGTTTCAGTTATAAAGAGATTGGATGATGTGAACCCAGTAGGATTAGGGAGACGTTCGCGTCAAATGTTCGATGAAGTGTGGCGTAAGTTTTCGGGATTAGGGCAGATTTCGAGAACAATCCGTTCTGATGATGAGAGTACTCTGCTTATTAGGGAAGGTGGGCCCATGTGTGAATTTGCAATTCCTGGTGCTCAGAATACTACTGTCCTTGTTGTTGGTGCGACTAGCCGTGTTGGTAGAATTGTTGTGCGCAAACTCATGCTAAGGGGTTACACTGTCAAGGTCCATTTCTCGATTACATCCTCCAATTTACCTTTTGTCCTATTGCTCTCTCTCTCTCTCTCTATATATATATATATATATTTCTTTTTTGTAAAGAATTTTTACACTGTAGCATATTTAGCAGGTAAATTGCTCTATTTCTAGTTTCGTAATGTCGCTTTTTCTGGATAGTTACATGTAGTTAGTTATCTGTTAGGTTCTTTCATTCTATCAGTGTATAGAAGGTAAGTTCGTTTAGTAATTGCATATAGTTTCTACTAAGGCGAAACTGGGATTTGAACAATGTAGGTTCGAGTTCAGGATTCTACTACAGCCCATCTGATTTACTAGGTTCAAAATCTATTGTTTGTACTTATTCGGTGGATTTTTTAACATATATACAGGGTTAGGGATGGAGCCAGAGTGTGGGATACGAGTTCGGCCGAAACCACTAGCATTTGTTCAAACCATATATTTTTCTTAAGAATTTCATTGATTATGTACACATTATTAATTTAGAACTCAGTAACTTAAAAGGATTACAATCTGAAACCCATAAGGTTCAAATCCTGGCTCCGTCTCTGTACAGGGTCTAAGCAAAGGCTACTGGGTTCGGATGAACCCATTAGCATACTCTACATCCGCCTCTGAGTTTCTCCTCTTTCCAACTATTGTCATTTACGTATGGCTAGAGGCTGATTTAGCATATAATTAGCAGGTTGCAAGTGCACCAATATCGCTGAGTTGGACTATGTATGTGCATATAGAAAGTCTAATTAAAATGTTTTAGATATGTATAGGTGATGCTAGCGAGTTGGAATTAAGGTTAGTGACGTTAGTTGTTATTCAGACACTTACTTTTGACTGGTGTTTGACAGGAGTTTATTGAATTTTATTGGTTTTATGACAGTGTAGGTATAAGTGTGAAATTTAGAGAATAGAGTAGTGGAAAGGATATAGAGGATTCTTATAGCTGACCTGAACTAGTTTGGAATTGACGCGTAATTTTAGACGTATATATTTTAGGAATTCACGGCCTTTAAATCCTAAATCCACCTTCGAATGGTGCTCCTCCATTTATCTATATAATTTCCTTTTTCCTGTTGAATAACTTTACTTGATATCCGGCTGAGATAGAAGTCATCACTTACATTTGTTTTACATTCCCGAGCAGGCTTTAGTAAGGAAAGCTGATCCGGATGTGGTTGACATGTTACCAAGATCCGTGGAGTTGGTGACAGGGGACGTTGGTGATCCTTCTAGTCTAAAAGATGCAGTGCAAGGCTGCAGCAAAATCATCTATTGTGCCACTGCTCGTTCTTCAATCACGGGTGATCTCATCAGAGTTGATCATCAAGGGGTTTACAATCTAACCAAAGCTTTGCAGGTATTAGTTTCCGTCCACTATCTTGTTTGGTCCATTTTGGCGAGGTTATACTAATTACTTTTCCATGTTGTCCTCATAGAGCACATTCTATCTCCCAATAGTTGAGTTGATGTCTGACAGTAGTTTGAATGGCAACATTTTCCTTTCAAAATGCTGCATAAGATGCTTGTCGTAATACTGCTAGCGCTAGTCAAGCAGAGTCAATTAACATATCTTCTTGTCATTAAACGATGTGAATTTTTGTTGTATATCCATATGTATCTCGATTCGATGGAAATGTAGACATCCACCCCATAAGATAATCGTCCTTCAATTGACACCATTTAGACGAGATACTTGTACTGGAATATCAGAGTGATATCAGATAAGGACAAGTTTTCATATAGTAAATTGACACATCTTAACAAAGGTATTTTTATCTAGTAATATCGATATCCATATTTAACTAGTCAAATCTGATGAAGAACTTGCGGCTGAATTCTGTATAACAGATTTACTTTCAGGAAAAAGAACTAAGTTTGTGCTAGGAATGTAGTCAAATTATAGATTGTCCATTTCCCCTTAATATTTTGATGATTTGCTTTTCTTCGTTAAAGGTCAGAATTATCTTTTCTTAGTTAACTGGGCCATTGGTGTACTTTTTCTTTAACTAATAAGTTGAACTGCTTCCTCAGAAATGCTTTAAATTCCTGCAATGATATTTAGCATACACAACTGAGATCCAATTACAATCTTGGGCAACAATTTTTTTTTTTAGTGTATAGGCAGCTTTAAGAATATTGTTGATGTATAAGAGGGCCAGCTTTAAGATAAAGCTGGACAAGAGTACATCCAAAAACCACTTTACAGTGACTTTCTCTTCTCATTGCACAAATGAGATATTCATAAAGCGTCCGGTAACATTTGGAAGTATATCCCAGCAGTAGTTTGGTGGGTCACATGGAGAGAAAGAAATGCTAGACTTTTGAAAACAAAAAGGAAAATGTAGTTAATCCCGGGCAACTATTATTTGTGCATTTTCAAATACTTCCCTTGTTGAAATGATCAGTCTGTAATCTGTATATGCATTCTGTTTCAAAAATTGTAGGACTACAATAATAAACTAGCACAGCAACGCGCCGGGAAGAGTAGCAAAAGCAAGCTTTTAATTGCAAAATTCAAGTCTGAAGATTCATTGAACGGGTGGGAAGTCCGTCAAGGGACATATTTCCAGGATGTGGTTGCTTCTAAGTATGATGGAGGAATGGATGCCACGTTTGAGTTTACTGAAAGCGGAGAGACTATTTTTTCAGGTAACCAGGAAAGATGATCTCAGGTCTTGAAAACATGTATACTTTGTTTTGTGAACACATTTGGGGGCTTGTAGTCCCATTTATTGCAATGTGGTGCTAAGTAAGACGAGTTTGAGTATGTTTATGAAATATTGAATTTCAGTGATGCAAACTTTTGATCCCTGTTTTCTAAGTTTTCTTTCTCTTTGCTCATCCAAGGATATGTTTTCACAAGAGGAGGCTATGTTGAATTGTCAAGAAAACTGTCACTTCCTTTAGGTTATACTCTTGACAGGTATTTACTATCAATGTCAATTTTTCTTTTTCTTTTTTACTCCTTCACGATGCTATTTTTCCCAGTTGTTGATTTATGCTTACTGCATATACTTGTGTCAATATTGATATTTTGATTCTTAGGTACGAGGGTCTAGTATTCTCTGTTGGTGGGAATGGGAGATCTTATGTTGTAATTCTTGAAGCTGGTCCTTCAGCAGATACAACCCAAAGCAAACTGTATTTTGCCAGAATTAGCACAAAAGCAGGATTTTGCAGGGTGAGCTCGGATTTACGGAGTGGAGGAAAATTATTAATTGAGTAATGCCTCCAGTATGAATTCTATTAATACTTTAGTTTTTATTCTAATGTTTTTGCATATGCACATGTTTTCACAGGTGAGAGTTCCATTTTCCTCGTTTCGGCCGGTGAGTCCAGACGATCCACCACTGGATCCATTCCTTGTTCATACCTTGACCATACGCTTTGAGCCTAGAAGACAGGTCTGCCCTCAACCTGAAGCATTCCCTTTATCATTGTTGCCATTTTCATTTCTTCGTAAGTTTTAACTGTTTCTTTTATGTTATATTAGGGTTACCATATTTCTGGAATGCCACATGTTCTTTTTGTATATGAATCAAATTGCATATACACTCGAGCCCACTCCACATTATTTAAGTATAGAGCAGGAGCAAAATCTTGAAATAAAAAAATAGATCAATAGACCAGGCTTGATGAATATATATGGATAATTGAGGAGTCATTTCAATAATTCTTATTTGCTTATGTAGGGAAACAAATTATATTTATTGCTAAAGCACTTTAATCTTTTTTCTTTCTTGAAGTATTTGACCAATTTTGTTAAGGAAAAAGAGCTATTTTCACTAGAAGATCCAATCCTGATAACAAAATTCATTGTCCTACCTGCAAAAGCCTGCTCTAGGATAGATACCTTAAGCATACTCTGACATAAATCCTTGTAACATCTCAAAGTAGAATTCACACTACCCTCCCCAGATCCCACTTGGGATTTTACTGGGTTGTTGTTGTTGTTATTTCAAAGTAGAATTCAACTGTTTTCCGGTGCTTGTTGCTGATACTTGGTATCTGTGAGAAAATAATACACGTAAAATTATATTTTATTGATCTCTTTAACTATAATACAAGGATCCCTAGTTATAATAATACACAATGCATACACTAATCCTATTCCATGTGGGACCATACTTATTTATACAACTACTAACTACCTAACACTCACCCTCAAGCCGGTGCATATTAATCATACTAGTATCTATAAACGTTCGTTGCACGTTAATAATGGCACATGATGGTTTAAATATTTATTTATATAAAGGAACAATAAAATTTAATTAATGAGAGAAATTTTATATATAATAATACAACAATCATCTAAATGCGAAAAATATTGTTGCATTAGCATAATACATGACTTCAAAATGAAAGGACATCAGAATTACACAAATGATCAATTTTAGTCATGTTAAGTAGATAATTATGTATTATAGTTTAAAGGTATCTAATGTGGTGGTATCTTACCGAACACTTCTTTATAAACGATGTTTTTTTGTATATGTTTCCTTCTAATGCTTTGATTGCTCTGCCATAATCAGAACTCTTGTTGTCAATATTGATATCTCTCTTGAAAGTGCAACATATAGTTATTCGTGTAAGAAAACATATTGTTGTAAATATAGTCCAATATTTAGGATGTTTGTCCTTGTGCTTTATTTATTATAACTACAAAACATAAACATACTGAAAATTCTTTTCACACAAATTTAAAAGGATATTCTTTAGTTTCGGAAGACGAAAGTTGAATTCGGGGATAAACACATACTTAGAAGCACATTAACCAGTATCATAAGTTCTGCATGTATGCCGTTATTGTCAAAATTTCTATATACCAGATGTGTACTATTACATAAGCTATTAAGCGGATCTAAGTTTTTAGTAGCATGACGACATATTTTTCTTCAATATCAACCTATATGCAATGGAAGATTAATTTTAACTTAGTCTGTTATATATATGGTGACACTAACATACGTAAGAAATAATGAACTTGACAACAAACATGTACGGTAGAAGGCCGTTTGATATTAAAGTATTTAAGTATTCTTCATGGTAGTAATTGTTGGTATCATTTTCTGTTAAGTCAAAACTGAAAAATATTTTGTTTTTACCATAAAATTTAGCAATCAATCTTTTATTTAGTTGATCAACATATTCATTTCTGTTAGCTAAGATAGCTCTTTAATTTCTATCATATAATTTGCACAAATTATGTTTTAATCTAATGATGAAAATATTTTCCTTATTAAACATACTACTATTACCATTAGGATTGATAACCAAGTGTTCTAGAAGAACCAAATCATCTTTTATTGGATGCTCTTCTTCGTTTCCGACACGAAGCAAGAAGTCACTAAATGTTGGATCTGTTCTTACTTTAATATTTCTCGTCATTTGAATATTTTTCATTTGAGTCCATAAATATAATTTTGGCAAGCTAGCTTTACAGTTTCTGCTTTCGTCAATTTTGGTACTACTGATCGTACTTGACAGAATTCACCTCCCAAACTATTACTTTTCCACCAAACAATTCATTGATATCCAATCTATCTCTAAAACTCTGGGCGATTGTTTCGATCGTTTGACGCTTAGCCAAAAGCGCTTCATACCATATTATCACTTTTGCTTTTCTTATAAATTTAGCACTAATGCTCTGCTTTGATATATTTGTGGTAGTTATTTCAGTTATTTGAAAAGGTATATCAAATCTAAAATGAGTTGTACGACCTCATAATAAAATCATTGCTGGTACATCACTTGTTCTTATTGCTAACAATATCATGCCTCTTGATTTGACATTTTCAAGTAATGCATGACATAAGAATATTATTTCGATTCCGCCGGAGGTATCTACAAAGTATAATTTCGCTATACCAGAGTCGACTTTTTATAATATAGTCTTGAAAGCTTATTATTGTTCAGGATTTAGCTTTGATTGTGCTTCCTCAAACACTTGTATGGCCTTCTTAATATTATACTAATCTTTTTTACTTTGTGATCTATTTTTGTAAATCTCTAACACTCTTTTTATGGAATAAATTTATGTACCCTAAGATATATTTTTTTAACTTGAAAAATAATTTTACTCATATGATGAATTTAAACAACAATTTAATTGGAACCTCTTGCTAAATAATTAATTGAAAGATTTGATTATTTGGTTTTAGCATAAAAAATAATTTATTTTCTGTTGATTCAGATTCTTAATATTAGTTCATCTCATGTTTGAATATTTAACCGTAATTATAATTTTATCGACCATAAATTTTATTTTCAAAGAGTAAAAAGATCGTTCTGACATACCACTTTTAGATCTTTGTGTTTACAAAATCATTAGTGGTATTGACTCTTACCAACCTTTTTCTTTCTCTTTGTCACACATTTATATTCTTAAAAATTTTCTTAGTTGTTCTTTAATACTTGGGTATATTTTTCTATATTACACAAAAAATTAATAATAAAAAAATATTATTTGAGTAGGAAAGCATTTCAAATATAATATAATAATATATTATCGTGGGGATTTTCTCCCAATTTCAATGCTTTATGCAGTCCGTTTAACATTACTTTTATTTTTTCTTGGTATTGAATATTATAGAGTTGTAATGTATTACCAATATGAAGGATTCTTATGAAATTGATTTTATTAACCCTTCCTAGATATTTTTAATAAGAATTCAATAGACATATTGTATTAACTTTAAAATCTTAAATATTAAAAAAATTAACATAGTAGTTATTGTAGTCCAAAAAAATAAGTTATTACAGTTATATCATTTCCCTATGAGTTCTTCTGTTTAATGTTTTAGGGCTATTTTGGTCTATCAATATTGTATTCGTGTTTTATAATAATATATAGGCTCTCCTGTTTCTAAATGGATTTGGACAATACAATACGTTTTCAAATTAAATTAGTAATAAGAATTTTTTAAGAAGTATATGCTAAAAGTAATAAGATTACATGGCTAAAAATATGTCCATATCCCGAAAGTAATTATACTAATAGGAAATCTAACGTGTTCCTAAAGGTATTAGGTTTACATGCTAACATGTGGATTGTGGTATTATATATCTATGCCCGAAAATAATTATACTAATAAGATTCCTAAAGGTAATTATGTAGGATTCCTAACGTGTAATATTATGTCCTAAAACTAATAGGATTAGAAAGCTAATGTCTAGAATTCCGGTTATATCCTTTTATTGTGATTTATTATGCTTAATATTAAAAGGTTATTTTTGTAAACCTCATGCTTTTATAATAATATAGATGTACCGAGCTTGTTACATATGTAACTAATATGAGCACTGGTGAGGGACTTGGTGAAAATATCGGCAAGCTGATCACTCTGTGTTTTATCGGCATTCTGCTATCTCTGATCACTATCTAACCGTGTTGTCATTTGCTACAGAGGCCAATTGATGGACCTAGTGGGGTGAACCAAGATTTGAGAAGCTTTCAGCTAATTATGGAATATATTAAAGCTTTGCCTGTAAGTTCAGTTGTCTGTTTGTGCAACAGCATAATGTGATACTTCCGTTTCTTCCTGTTTTTGCTTATGATCTGCATATAACAGTCATAATCTATGAGCTGAAAGGAATTTGACTGGTAACTGTTTTAGTATCTTCAAGATAATTTACAGTCTAGAGAGTTCCTGATAAAAGTACTCCATTCTACTTTCAGCTTTATTTTCTATATTTACCTCAGTTGGCCGCAAAAGTTTGGAGTTCCGTCAATTTGGTTCAACCTGTGAAATGTCCTAGTTCTTGGATAAACTTAAAATGCATGTAATTAACATGCTAAAATTATTGATTCCCAAGAGTTAATTTGAGTCCCACTCTCAAATTGATGGTCATTGGTGATTAGTGCATTCAATCAACCCATTATTATCTGCTAGCCGCCATGTCCTGACCAATACTGAAGCCAGGGACCACTCAGTATTCCTTCTTCGAGCTGCTCATTTCCCCATTTATGTGATAGATGACAACTTTAATCTCCATCTAGCTCTATGTTCATTACTGTGGCAGGTCTTTGTCAATGTAAAAGAGAATACTTGTTCTCTTTTTTCGAGAAGTGACGTGTTTTTGGCGTAGTATTCTATGATTCTACTGCTCACTCAAAACATTTTTATGTATGCTTAAATAGAAACCAAAGTAACAAGTACACCATTGTGGTAAAACTCTAGGATCTTGGTGCCACAAGTTTGCCATTTTAGCAAGCCTTGATTGGAGGTTATGCTTACATAGATTCATATCAATTGCCCTTGCATGCATATTGGAACAGGAATAACCAGTAGTGGTGGAGCACTCTCTCTCTCTCTCTCTCACACACACACACACACACACACACACACTCACAGAGAGCTTTTTTTTTGTAGGGAAGGGGTGTGGATATTACTTTCACAGAAGTGGTCTGCTTGTTATTATTTCATCCTTCTTCAACCAATTCTTTTATAGCTCCTACCTGGCATTTTCTGACCAGTCTTTACGTTTCTTGTGTGGTTGTCTGCTCAAAAGATACTGGGAAGGAATTTTAAGACATAGCTCTGGATTCAGTATAATACTTTTAAGTTCTAAATCGTAAAGATGCGCAAGTTGGCCCAGATACTACCATTATCCTCACCAACAGAAAAGTTCTAAACCTTGTGACATTTGTGTGTTGAAGCACTGACTGCAGATTTTAGGTGACTTAGTAGTTGGTGGGATACAACTTATAGATCTCTTCGCTGTTTGGATATAAGTAAAAGGTTTATAAATAGTCGTGTTTTCGGATTGTGCTATTGCTTTTCTTTTTCATCAGTTATTTAAAATGCTGATTTGGTTGAAGAATCATTTGTTTGATACAAGAAATATGTTGGACTATCTACTTATTACCAAAGGGATTGTAAATTTGCAGACTGGGCAAGAAACTGACTTTGTCTTAGTATCATGTACGGGGTCGGGAATAGAGCCTACAAGACGGGAGCAAGTTTTGCGAGCCAAGAGGGTGAGCTCTTCTTCAAAATCTTCCTTCATTAGTTTTCTTGGATTAAAACTGATTCCCTGGTTTTTTGAAATTTTCTAGGCCGGTGAAGATTCATTAAGGAGGTCTGGCCTTGGATACACAATAATTCGCCCAGGTCCCCTGATGGTAAATATGTTTTCCTATTGTTCATGTATTGGTATTCACTTTGAACTGGAAATAGCGAGTCAATGATTGGCTTCTGGTTAACTTTAGGATTGACCTTGAGCAATAAGGCGAATTTGTATCAGCTTTTGCTTTGCTCAGAATTAGGTACCCCATTTAGGCCATTTAATCTTACATCACATATGGTTTGTCGATAGGTTGTATCAAGGCTTTGAGTGGGAGAGCAAGAAGTGTTCTTTCTCCTTATTTGTCAGAACAAGTGTTAACCTGTTGCTTAAGAACAATGCTCTAAAGTTCATTGAAAGATAAATCAAATGCAAAGAGTTAGAGTAGGATGGAATTAGTTATCAGTGTGGTGGTAAAGATGTATTTCTATGGGAAGTTCTGCTTAGCGGCTTCCAAATAATGTGGTATTCCACTAATCAAATGCTAAAGGAAGCAGGGGCTCGATTTAGCAGTTGTACCACAAATTATTTCAAATTCTATTGAAAGTAATGAGAGACCTACCACCCAAAATATTATATTATAGCAAAATGTGAAGATTTTTAACGATTGGTTCCTGCAGGAAGAACCAGGTGGTCAACGCGCGCTCATATTCGATCAAGGAAATCGTATATCCCAGGTAAGAGTCATACTGTACTCATGAGAGTATTACTGCACTTACAATTGAGCTTACATTTCGTAAGGGTAAATGCAGGGAATCAGTTGTGCTGATGTGGCTGACATATGTGTGAAGGCATTGCATGATTCGACAGCCAGAAACAAGAGCTTTGATGTGAGGAACACTCTATTTGTTTCGATAGCACAGTTTGAAAAAGTGGCTATTTACCTTTTTTCCCTTGTCTAGGTATGTTATGAATACGTAGCTGAACCCGGGAAGGAGCTGTACGAGTTGGTAAGGCCTTTAATTAGCAGATTTTATCAATTGAAAAATCTCGACGACATACCTAGTGTAGTCCCACAAGTGGGGTTTGGTTCAATTGAAAAATCTAAGGCAAAATATCGTACAGCATTTACTTCACTTTCTGGATGAATTTGTCCTTCTACCAATAATATCTTGTTTCTCATTTTAGTTTCTTATATACATTGCAGGTTGCACATTTACCTGACAAAGCAAACAACTATTTAACACCAGCACTCTCAGTACTGGAGAAAAACACATGATCCTGCTCGAAGTTTGTTCAAGTTACAATCTTCATTCAATCTCTAACAGAAGGTATTGCTGCGAGACTTACCAAGATCTTTTTGACTATGAGGAATATTTTCTGTCTGTATCAGTTCTCAAATATATGTGTACATATATATTTATGTATATGGCAATAGTATTTTTTTTCATTTACCGATGGCCGTGTATAGATTAAAAGCAAGCACTGCCATAAGTTATTTTGTTTACTGGAGAACACTCGTTACAAAGTGAATAGCAGTCCAACATATTCATCTTTCTCTTTTATTGTTCTTGGAAAATGGAATGAGAAAAAAATTTAAAACTCCAATGTCTTCAGCTGACTTCTCTACTAAGGGGAAACAAAAAAAAACCCAGAGAAACCAGGGATGACACTCCATGTATTCATATAAGGATAGCCAATCTAGGCTTAGGTTGGAGCACGCTGCAAAAAAACTTACATGCACTTTAATAATATGTATTCTCACTTTAATATTTGACTCTTATGGTTAAATCGCTACCTCTCTACCCCAGGGTAGGGGTAAAGTCTGTGTACACACTACCCTCCCCAGACCCCACTAGTGAGATTATACTGGGTTGTTGTTGTTATATGGTTAAATCGCTTGTTTTGATGTAAAATACTGAATGCGGGTAAGTAGGCAAAACTAGTTAGGAGTCCAAGAAACTGTTACCTGATTTGAGGAGAAGATACATTGCAGAAAGATAATGCCAAGCTCAGTTTACTTTATTTGATGGCTCACTCAAGGAGAACAGGCAAATACGAGAGAATGCCACTCAAATTTTGTGAACAATTCACTGCAAACAGAAGCCAAAAATATAGCTAGTTAAGTGCAGCTAAGAATGCTTACTTTACTTGCAAAGGATATTATATAATATTTCTATGTATTAAATATCTATGACGATGTTTAACTAGCTCAGTAGCTTCATAAGAATTCTTCAACAAGCTGGTTAGGATTAGTTGATGGAAAAAGAAAAAAAAACACAAGGTTTCTATTTCCCAGAAAAAGAACAAAAAAGAAGTAAACACCATCTCATAGATGGATAACCTTGTGCCAGCATTTTGGAATGGATCAGGTATATGGACATCATTTATAACAAAATATTACTTTAGGTAACATCTAGGTAAGTATGTAGTATTATTCCACAACTTTCATTCTAAGGCATGAGTTCTATTTACTTTGAGTTATACTTGTATAAATTGATAATGTTTTTTGTTGGAAAATAAAAAATTCATAACCAAGTGTATGTATTTATATCTGCTAGTTCAATGGACAAGAATTACTCACTTAAGGGTATTTTTTCCATTTAAATATAGTTTAATCCCCAAATTGTTAATACACATGTTCTCATTATAACTTAATATATTATTTAATACCTCCAACCAAATATTGCATTAAATATATGACAATTATTTTTTATTATGCATTTAATCAAATGTTGTATTATGTTATGTGAAAATTTGTTCTACGAGTAATTTATAGCACATAATCAACCAAAAATCGTAAGCTTCCTGTCACGACCCAAAATCTGTCGTAATGATGCCTATCTTAATACTAGGCAAGCTGATAACCTCAATAAACCACAAATTCCTTTAAGTTTGAAAACACAATAAATAAATTTAAGAGTAAAATCCCACAATTTTTGATACAAAATATTGTCTTTATACCATACACTCCCAAAACCCGGTGTCACTAAGTACATGAGCATCTAAATGACAACACAGTCTGACTGATAAAAATACTATCTAAAATTATAGAACAATACAAATAACCGAAAGGAAAGAGAGTCAAGGTCTGCAGACTCCAAGCAGTTACCTCGATAGTCTCCAACAGATAAATCTCCAAATCTAGCAACCGCCGTATTCGGAAGTACATGGATCTGTACACGAAGTGAAGAGTGTAGTATGAGTACAACCGACCCAATGTACTAAATAAGTAACAAGATTAACCTTTGGGCTGAAAGTAGTGACGAGCTCAATAATTATAGTCCAGTCATAGAAAATAAAAGTACAAAAATGTAGGCATACTTTCAAGTTCCACAATTAAACTCAATACAAGAAAATAGATTAAATCCGAATGATACGAGGATTATGACATTTCTACGTTTACATGCCAATGTACATGTCATATGTGATGCAACATAATAAAAACCTCTCGTACTCAACATAATATCAACTGTTCTCACTGTGGGGAGTGCAGACTCCAGAGTGGCTCCTTCAGTCCAAGCGCTATAATAAGTCATTTAGGCTTGCTGCGGCGTGCAACCCGATCCCATAACAATAAAGCCTATAAGGCCTGCTGCGACGTGCAACCCGATCCATATAATAATAAATATATATAAAGCCAATATGGCTTGCTGCGTCGTGCAACCCGATCCCATAAATATCCTCACAAATGGATGAACATGACTGAGTATGAAATTTACATTTTAAAAAACAGTTAATTCAACAGCAATACGACCCCTGTGAGTCCCAAAATATTGGTACGTAGCCTAAACATAATCTTTAATATGAGTCTCAGCTCAAATTTCTCTAACACGTAGAGGATATGTGGATAATGACATCATTATTTGATTATGCAACTCCACGAAAATAATTAAGAAGTAGTTTCTATGGTGCACGCCCACACGACTGTCTCCTAACATGTGCGTCACCTCCAAATAATTAATTTAGGGATTCATACCCTTAGAACCAAGTTTAGAAGTATTACTTACCTCAAACCATGCAAATTCTCTATTCCAATATGCCCTTGCCTCGCGAATCGGCCTCTGAACGCCTCGGATCTAGTCACAATTAATTCGATACAGTCAGCACAAATGACATGAATCAATTCCATATGAAAATACTAAATTTCCCAAATAAATCCGAAAATTCACCCAAAACTCAACAGTGGGGCCAACGTCTCGGAACCCGACAAAAGTTACAAAATAAGAATGCACATTCAACCACGAGTCCAACCATACAAAATTTACCAAATTCCGACATCAACTCGACCTCAAAATCTTAAATTCTTATTTTGAAATCCCTAAGCCCAAATTCTCGAATTTCACCTCAAAAACACGTAATCTAGTCGGAATACTCGACGATAATTCAATATTATCGACTAAAAATAGTCATAACTGACTTATCTCAAGAATCCCCGTGAATTCTCTCTGAAAATTTGCCCCAAACCGTGCTTGAAAGGTCCAAAATGACAAAAATCTCGGACCCTTCTATTTTTGTACTATGGCAAGGGCTTTCGCATTTGCGATAAAATTGGCCGCATCTGCGGTCTCGCAGATGCGAGGTCCTCCCTCGCTTCTGCGGCTTCCTTCGCTTCTACGGACAAAAGGTCTGCTTCTGCGGACTCGCCTTTTGCGGCGGCACTGTCGCTTCTGCGAAGCAACCCTCCAGGCTCACTTCCGCTTCTACGATCGACTCGTCGCAAGTGAGAGTCTGCTTCAGCGGTCCTCCATGTGCCCCGACGACCACTGCCCTTTTCCAAGCCCATCCGCTTATGCGCTGCCAAGCTCGCTTCTGCGAGCTTGCACATGCGAGCCAAATTTCGCAGGTGCGATTGTACTAGAAGGCAGAATTTTCCAGGTTTGGTCTAAGTCCAATTTTCGATCCGTTAACCATCCGAAACTCACCCGAGGCCCCCGAGACCTCAACCAAATATACCAACAAGTCTTAAAACATCGTACGAACTTAGTCGAGGCCTCAAATCACATCAAACAACGCTAAAACCACGAATCGCACCCCAATTCAAGCTTAATGAAAATTAACGAATTCCAACTTCTACATTCGATGCTGAAACCTATCAAATGAAGTCACATTGAGTTTAAATTTTGCACACAAGTCATAAATGACATAACAGACCTATGAAAATTTTCAGAACTGGATTTCGATCCCGATATCAATAAAGTCAACTCCCAGTCAAACTTCCAAACCTTCAATTTTCCTAATTTAGCCGTTTCAAGTCAAAATCAACTACAAACTTCTAAATAATTTTCCGGACACACTCCTAAGTCCAAAATCACCATACGGAGCTATTGGAATCATCAAAACTCTATTTCGGAGTCGTTTACACGTAAGTCAATATTCGGTCAACCTTTTCAACTTAAGTCTTCATCCTTGATACTAAGTGTCTCAATCCATTCCGAAACCTCACCGGACCCGAACCAACTACCCCATCAAGTCACATAACAACTGTAAAGCATAAAATGAGCAGTAAATGGGGGAACAAAGCTATAATACTCAAAACGACCGGCCGGGTTGTTAAACTTCCCGGGCAAAGAGCCAAGTAGGCTTGAGGCTCAACTCGTTTGTATTTGAGCTCAACTCGACTCAACTTGGTTAAAATTAAAGCTCGACTCGGCTTGATTTCTGTCAAGATTTGACTGGGACTCAATTAGTTTCAAACTAATCATTACATGACTCAATCGAGCCAACCAAGCTGAGTCGATGCGAATCTAACTTAATTTCCACGTGAATTAAGTAACATGTTTAATGTTAATAGCTACTAACAAATTTATAAATTTTGCACTTCTTTAATTTATTAGATGTAATTACATCTTTAATACACATAGTTTCTTAAGACTAATTTATGGGTAATGCGAAGTGTGATTAATAATTTAAATTTAAGAATTCAAAATTTAATGAAGTTAATATTTGTATTTTTTTCAATTAATTGCTTCTTTATTTTTTATTTTTCGTCTGAAAGTTATATTTATGTTAGATACTATAAGTTTGCATCGTTTGAGTTTGAGTTCCAATTTAAACCGATAATGCGTATAATTCAATTACATTTGGTTTAAGCTATTTGATTAAATAATCAGGGTATTGATTTGATATTGCCTTATTATTTTGAATCGTGTACAACTAATTTACATATAATTTTATATTACTAGTTTTAGTATATGCGCGTTGCACGTGTTCTCATTCTAGTGAAAATAAATTTTTTAAGGATAGCATAAATAATATTCAAATTAGAGATGTATTTGTGATCTAAAATAAAGTTTAACAAAAAATTACAAGTTCCAAAATAATACGCAAAATTTAATAGTAACGTTTAGGAGTTGGGTGCATTCTAATGGTTCTTTCTCTGGTTGTTCTAGTACTTGATCATTGAATAAAAATGTTATAGGAATAATANTATAATTATTACAAAATTTTCTTGTGATAGTTTACTAACACTTGAAAATTTCAATCCATTTTTCTCATTTTATTAGAGTGCTAAAAGTTGTACCCTTATCCATATTCATGCCTTAGAACTCACGTAGGTATCC